TGCAAAAAACGCATCATCGCACGGACAGCCCGTGCGTTGGCCAATTATTTTTTCTTTTTAGCAACTGTGATATTTCATGTTTTACTTCCATGCAACAGGACTGGAGAAGGAATGGAAAGGAAAAGCGCAGCTTTCACAGTAGATGCTATTTTGTCAGTGGGGGAAAATATGTATTGTTTTTTGACTCACTGCTTCCCAGATCGAGTTGTTGGGTAAGATTATGCCTTAGTAAGCCAAGCTGTCGGCAAATAGCAAAAATAAAATGATTTTGTTAAGTCTACAAAAAACGTTTGGCATAAGATACATTTATAGCCGGCAGCGCTTTCGACGGAAGTAATGTGATGACACTATTTGCGACGTCGGATGGCTTACACCTTCGAATACCGCGGCAAACAGTACAACAAGAAACATATGGGGCTATCTGCGACACCGCGTTTACACATTCTGCAACAAACACTGCTCACAACAATGGTTAGTCAGCCTCGTTAAAATCCGAATGCAGGTCACTACGATTGCCCGCACTGCAGTGTGAAGCAACCAGTGATGCAGCTACACTTCTCAGCATTATTGTGTCAAACCCTAATGGTTTCAGGCACAGTGAGAGAAAACGGGAACACTAGGTGTGATGAGGCTTCCTCATTTCACTGTTTTTGGAATATTTTTTATGGAGTAATGATATTTCCACTGACAAATTGTTCAACGATTATTTAAAAAGGCAAATTTAGATGAAATTTCGGACAGCCATCGAGTTTCTCAGTCAACAGTTGTCACCGGTGATAACGAACCACCAGTGCTGCACCTTGGAACTGCTGACCATCAACAGCTACAGAAGAGTAATATGTACGGGGAAGAGAACAGTACGATAAAAAAACTATCGAAAAAGAAAAATTTTGCAAAGTCAGTGGCAGATTCAATCGCACAGTCATAATTTTTCCAAAAAAGGGATTCCAGTTTTTGGAGAAATTATTACCTGTTGACTCGATGGCTGTAAGTTGATGCTAGGTCAATATGTATGAGCTGCATTTGACACCTCAGGCAATCGTGGTGGTGTCATGCACCATTCACGTACCTGAAGAGAAGAATAAGTATCGTAATGAAGAGCTGAAGCTTGGCATGATTACCCAGTGATTTTACTTCTTAAATACGGTTTCAATAATTGAAGTTAATTGTTTATCTTCGGTGCAGTTTAACGCCAGTTGGCTTGAATTTTTTCTTTTTTTTTTGCATTTCTTTGACCGAATTTGGCCTCTTCTAATAATAAAGAAAAGTTGGCGCTGTGTCTGTGCTAATGTTACGAATAGTATGTGATTAAATTTTGCACACTGTTTTAGTTTGAATTTGAAAAAAAAAACATTTCTCGAATTTTACTCTATATATTCATTTTCAGTATATATTAAGTCTTACTCTACAACTTCCTTCCAGTTTAGCTCACATCGTTCCATCGACACAACTGACAATCTCTTTATGTCTGTGATCCGAACACCTCGTCCGGCGCTTAGCCCACCAAAGAGCCCCAAATTCTTTGTTCTGGTTGTTCCCCTGCTCTGGCAAACAAAGCACTGCCCAGGTCCCATTTTACTAACTCTGTAGAAAAGCTTCAGCGTCATCGCTTGTGAAGCTTCTCAAAATAGAAGAAAAAATAAAAATTACCGAGACTTCAAACGGCACAATGTACTTAGACAGCCTAAGGAAATCCTAAGGACAATATGACAAGCAAACAAGGCTCCTGGGTGCCAAAAGACATTTTGAGCTTCACCAGCCTTCTACTTTACGTTCAAAAGAATTTTCCTAAAGATTTTTAGGCCTCAAATTTTCGAGCCACGAAGTGGATTGGGGGGAGAGGGGTGGGTATCGGTTTCGATCAGATAAACAAGACAAAAATGTGAAATTCAGGAAGGGAATTTTGTTATTGTTGCGACTCTGTATCTAATCGCAAGTTTTCAAGTTCGGAAGCTTGGAGATTTTTAATATTTTTTCTTGTCTGGATTATACCTTTATGCAAACGCAAGAACGCGTATTGTGGAGAGATTGTTGATGTGCGTGTGTGTTGGGTTTTTTGTTACCCACATTCAACTCAGCACCCACAGGAGCTAGGAAGTTGAGATGTTCCTGACCCACGTGCCATCTAAAGAGCTTAAAACCAGCGTTCACGTAACGCTTGGGTCTTATGAGTCAATTTTGGCAGAATACGACTTCGGAACCAAACAGAATTAGAAGCTGAAGATCCACGTAGGTATTCTCTGCCCATGTGTGAGCAAAAGATTTTAAATCAGATTATCACGCATGCCTTCGTCACACGGACATGTCAAAGTTGAAATTCAAGCACTGTTACCAAAATGTTGACCCGCACATCAATCTGTGTTGAGTGCCTTATCTTCACGGAAATCTTTGCTACTTACTCGCGGGTACGTAAACGTAAATAAGCCGTAGCGCGCCTGTGTGGCGCCTTTGGACACATCAAAATTATTTGTAACGAAGGGCGATTTCACCAACCAGTTAAGCTAAAAGGCCGAAACTTTACGAGAATATTTTATGCCAATGTGTATCGAGAAGCGAGCGAAAAATGACTAATTTGATCTAATTTTGTTTAAAAAAAACGTATTGTTGTTTTACTGTACCTATCCGTTCTGCTGTATTGTGGATATGCATTGATCAATTTTGTTGATGGTTGTGAAGTGCGTTTGTTTGTTATAGCGGACTCCAGACATCAGCATAGTTGTGTGATGTAGATGACCTCTGAAGTCAGCTGTAGCTAACACTCACTCCCACTATATATACACCTCGTAAACAACTTAGAACATCAGTTATCAAGCTCACAACCCCCACCTTTCAACCCCTCTTTGTTTTTGCTGCAGCCAGCAAAAACACATGTTGTCGAGAGGCTGTCTGTGTGCGTGTTCAGAAGCGAGTGCATTTTGCCACCCACTTTCATCTCAGCAACCAGGAAAGCTGGGAGGCTGAAACTTAGGGTATATGCTCCTACTCCGTGTGTCATCCTCCCATATCAAGATATTCTCCCACACGCGCCTAGACTCCGCGTACCGGCCCCCAAAAAAATGTGTTGGCGGGGCGGGAAACGATTTCGCGAACCAGGCAAGGTAGAAAGCTGAAACACTGCAGGAATATTATCTATGCACGTGCGAGCTAAAGATTTTAAACTCAGCTGTCGAGCGCCCCAACGCAACGTCAAGCAGCTCCTCAACCCAAAAATCGTTAAGAAATCCATCGCAACCCGGACCCGAACCCCAATCGTATATGTAAATGAACATTAGTTAATTTGCATATATGGATTTTTTGACAAACGACCGCTCGAGCAATACTTCCACTTTTTAGTGAACTGGAAATTAGCATT